TGAAGTTCATCTCTTCGAGATACGCCATACCGGCGGCTACCTGGAAATTTGGAAAAATAGTTTAGAGGCGCATGCAATTTTTTATGATGGGCGCTGCGCCTTTAAGGTAACCTTACCTGCGCGGAAATCTCCACCAACTGTGGCATCTGATACTGCCGTCCTCGTCGTTGTAAAAACGTTAACAAGTTCTCCTGCATCAACTCGGTCACTATCAGAATCGGCTCATCTTTTGTGCAAACAGCGTAGAGGGTGAGCAGTTTCGGGTGCCTGGAATTCTCATTTTTTCGGAATTTTCATTTTTCGGAATTTTCATTTTTCGGAATTTTCATTTTTTGCGGAATTTTCATTTTTTCGGAATTTTTATTTTTTCGGAATTTTGGACGAATCAAAGTGAAGAAGATCATGTTTCTAGCATACTTGCAACGGGCCGGGCCAGGCCCGCACAGACCGAGCCGGCCCTCAATTTGGCAAGTATGGTTTCTAGTGCTCACCTCAACTTCTTCATAATCTGAGCTTCGGCCAAGAAATCCGTCGGGTCTGCTGTTCCTGCTTTCAGCTTCTTCACTGCCACTGGTAGATTGTTGTTCCATCGTCCTTCCCAGACCTATAACATGAAAAATGACTCCAGACATATATCCTCTGGTAAAAAATCTTAATGAATTCGGGGAAAACACGGACAAAATGCTTTTTGGAGCTTTTGAAACAATTTTCTAGACTGTTTGGTTTCTTATTTTTCTGGAATGTCATACAGTATCATTTTCAAGTGAACCATGAAACCTGTAACACACGGTATTGTCTGTTCAAAAGCAGTCAACCTCGGTTTTTTTTGAAGCAATCAAAAAAAAGTGGCTAATTGGCAACGTTCAGTAATAAATTTCACATATTTTCACGGAAAATTTTTTTTGTACATCCAATTTTTTTCTCGGTTTCTACGCTCTATCTCACACGGACTTATACAAATTGCATATTGCGTCTTTAAAATCTGACAGTAAGCCACGCTTAAGCCGAAGGAGCGCGTACCATGTTTCCAGAGCACTTTTCAGTAATAACTTTCGATCAAATTCTGTCAATATTATATTCAACATGATGCGAAGAAAAATTTCTATTCAATTCGATTTAAAAAAAAAGCTTAGGCCCTGATTATTAATTTTGCAACAAAATGAGAAAAATGCCTACGTATCGCTGAGTCGCCACGCAGTTGGCATGCGACCCTACAATGAGACAGAGCCCGCGAATAAAACCTTTTGAGAACACGTACGAAAAAATTCACTGTGTATTTTATCTGTCAAACAACGTTCTGATAGTTCTGTCTACAACCGAGCTCTGTCGCTCTGAACGAGGCTACCTCCGGATCAGAATCAACCGAACTAGAAGCCCATGGGCTTCAGTTTTAGTATTTACGGTATATGACATAGAGGAGGAAACAATTCTCTATCGAATGGTATGAATTTCGAATGAGTTTGTATCAAAACGTTTCTGTCAAATCAGAAAAAAATTTAGCACTAAAAACTTCATCTCTTTGCTGCTTATTGTCTAATAAAACCCTATATGAACCCAGGGAAACTAGCGCAAAATGCCGTGAGTTTCGGCAGCCTTGCCAGCACGTTGCCGGCATTTTGCTATAAATTAGGCAATTTGCTGCTCATTTCAGCCAAATGCCTCGAATGGCAACCGTATGGCAGGGCTTCGGCAAAAACCTTGACTCGAAAACAGGTTATATTCCATTGAAAACAAGCAAATCGCTTCTCTATATGGTAATTTGCTTCTCTTTTTGGCACCCTTGCCGACAACATGCTCGCACGGCTGCCGAAACGATTGGTACCATTCGATTGAAAGTTTGTTTCTTTTCAATTTCTAATATTCACATCCCCATTTTTTGCAGAATCAAGACCTCCACAAGGTCCAGAAACCTAGACTCTATTCCTTTTTTTTCTAAATCTCCCCCGATCCCCCTCATTTTCCCCTAAATATCTCATATCATATTTCAGTCTTTATCCCTACTAATTTATCCGATTCCCCTTAGAAAGTGTTCCCCCAATAAAGGATATTTCTGTGTGTTTTTCGCCGTATTTCCCTCCTCGAAACAATATACAAATAAAAGCTGGTGGAAACATACGATAATGATGATGACAGGAGGAGAAGGACAACGAAAACATATCATGCTCCCCCTCCCGAGAAAAAAATGACACAAAAACACACACAACGGATTTCTGTCATGTTTGTAGAGGATTAGGACTGGATTTTGGATTAGATGGCTTCAAATTTGAACAAAATTACCCAAAAAGAAGAGCCAGGAGTACAAAAAGTCCAAATTGCTCCAAATTTAGACGAAATAATCCTAAAGATGGGTCTGGAACCCAGAAAATTGCTCCAAAAACTTAATTTTTGGCTAATTTATCCGTCCAGATCAGGGCAGTAAAAAAAAAATTTCCGAAAAAATCGAAAAACTTTTTTTCTCAAATTTTTCAGGACGAAAAAAATCGAAAAATGGTTTTTCGGGTTTTTTTTGTTTTTTCGGCAAAAGAAAGTTTTTCGGTTTAGAAAGCGAAAAAAATTTTGTAAGCTGAATAATTCTCAAAACTGAAAAAAAACTCTTGATTTTGCACGGTGAATCTTTTTGTACGTGTTTTCAAAAGGTTCCATTCGCGGGCTCTGTCTTACTGTAGGGTCGCATGCCAACTGCGTAGCGACTCAGCGATACGTAGGCATTTTTCTCATTTTGTTGAAAAATTAAAAATCAGGGCCTAAACTTTTTTTGAATCAAATTATTGACAGAATTTGATCAAAAGTTCTAACTGAAAAGTGCTCTGGAAACATGGTGCGCGCTACTTCGGCTTAAGCGCGGCTTACTGTCAGATTGTAAAGACGCAATATGAAATTTGTAAAAGTCCGCGTGAGATGGAGCGTAGAAGCCGAGAAAAAAAATTGTACGTACAAAAAAATTTACCGTGGCACAGCCCTGGTCCAGATCGTTATTTTTACAGTGATGCGCTATTATATTACAGGCTCCCTGCTGTTACAATCCCTTCCCCCTTAATATTATTTACGAACGCCCTATGATCATCACAGCAGGGGATGAGCATATTATTAAGTCGGACACAAATGATCAGCACACACAAGCGTCTTTTCTCTCTCTCTCTCTCTCTCTCTCTTTCTTTCTTTGCCTAAATACACTCAATGAATAAATAAACACAACGAACCTCTCCAAACTGGCCGGCACCGATTTGTCGAATGAGACGAACCGAACGACGATCCACCTCGTATTGATCGTCTGGAAAATGGATAGTAGGAGTGATTATGGGACGTTTTAAAACCGGGACATGTGGGAACCAGGCGGTCTTGATCTTTTGGGTCTTGACACGAAAATCTAAAAACCAAGGCATCTCCTCCTAGATTTCAGATAATTATTGGGTCCTGCCACGATTCCAGTCAGTTTTTATGCGAATTCCATAGAATCAAAATTTTTGAAACCAGCTCGTCAAGACGATCAAAATGAGTATAATCATGAGTCATGACTAGGTTTCGAAATTTTCGATTTTTCGGGTCCTTCTACGAAAAAATTTAATTTTGCTGTCAGTTTTGTAGCTAAACTCATGGAAATTGTACAGCTATAATCAGGGCAATAAGGCGGTTCGAATGAGTATAATCATGACTAGGTTTTGAGAATTTTTGGGTTTTGGGTCTCGACACGAAAACCTAAAAACTATCATATCTGGATCAGTTTTGTACCTAAGCTCTTGAAATTATTTTACTGAAATCAGCGCGTCGAGAGGCTTCAGAAAAGTACCCATAAGCCTGGGTTTGCATTTTTTTAAAGAAATTTTTGGGTCTCGACACGAAAACTAAAAAACTCACCATGAGTAAAAGTATTCGTCTGTGGGGCCTCCAATTTCACACAAGGCTTGCCCAGATTCACACACAGCCCGTCTGCTTCCCTCTGATAATGAGCAATGAGGTCGTGAAGAGTGATGAATGGACGCCGCCTGGCGATGAAATAGCCACCACTGTCGAGCTGTCGGATACGGTAGTGCTTGACGCTGTCGTGTTCGCGGACTGAAAAATATCAAGTTGGTGGGTGTCAGAAGGCTCAAATCATGATTTTTAGGCTTCCAGGCTGGTTTTGGGTGACTAGAAGGTTTGAAAATGGCCTAGACAACCTAGAAAAGGCCCTAGAAGATCCTAGAAAAGCCTAATGGCCTAGACTGATCGGTCTAGGCTCTAAGGCCTGAAATGTTGTGGGCAGGCAGACCCGATTATTCGATTTCGAGATGATCAGACGGCTCAGATCATGATTTCAAGGCGTTCAGGCTGGTTTTGGGCGACAAGGAGGTTGGAAAATGGCCTAGAAATCCGATAAAAAGGCCTAGAATAGCCTAGAAAAGCCTAACCTGGCCGTAAAGACCTAGCTAGGCTTGGTTTAACCATGCTCGGAGGCCTAAACTTTCCTAGGCCAGCGAAAAATGGTCCATTTAGGCTACGTCGAAAATCCGGCTCACATATTTCGAACCCCCCTCCCCCCCCCCCCCCCCATCCTCCAGGGTCGGTCCACAAAAATCCCCCCATGCCATTCCCTTTGATCCCTCACTTTTCCTCCCAACAGATACCATCTCTCCATCCTCATTAGGTATTTAGAACACCCTCCTCCAAATTCCCATAATTTGCGGAACTATAAAAGGTCGTCCCCTTTTTGTCGTGTCAACCCGGTCGCCGCGCCTTTCTCCCCCTCCCCCCACCCCATCACCGTCACTTTTGGTAACCTTGATTATGTCGTCTTTTGACGACCACCAAAACGTGTTTTATCTCTCCATCCCTGATGCCTAACAAAAGGACAAAAACTGTTGGAGGGGCTGACCTGATAAGGAGAAGTCGTGCTGTTTGGATTCCGAGTCTCGAACCAAAAACGCGCCGTGCTCGTTGAGATTCTGTAGAAGGCGTTTTTCGGCGTCTATCCTTCGTATACTTCCGAAGTACCAGCTGAAAAAAAAAATGAAAAAATGATTTGCCACCGGGTGGAATTGAACCAAGGACCCTCAGATCAAGGGGCAACAGTGCTAACCACTGCGCCACCGGGTCGCAAAGAGAAGAAGAGGGGGAGGCTTATCACAATAGTGCGGAAAATGGGGGGAAGGGCGGGGGAGATAAGGGGGGCCCATGACAAAAAAAAACTCACGACTGTGACTCGATACTCTTCTCCCGTGCCACATAATTCGAAGGGATGTACCCGGATTTTCCGGTCGCTTTGTGTCGCGCGAACCACCATTCGCCTTGTGTGTCGTTGAGAATTTCGAGGATCTGGAATAATGTTTTTACAACAAAAAAATTTGAAAAAGAAAATTGTTTGTCGTCAAATCTGATGCCGTGTACGCAGACACCGCAGACAGTGTAAGACAGTGTTTGCGTACTAGGCATCAGATTTGACGACAATGAAATGACCTAGAATAGGCTTGAAACGGCTTAGGGCAGGCCTGAAATGACCTAGAACAAGCCTGAAAACGCCTAGAAAAAACTGTCATATCTAGAAGTCTAGCAAGGTCTAATAGGGCCTAGCACGGCCTAGAAAAGCCTGGTATGTCCTAAGAAGGCCTAAAAAGGCTTGGACATTTTCAAGCGGCCTGGCGAGGCCTGAAAAACCCCTAGAAAGGCCTAAACTAGCCAGGCAAAGCCTCAACTGGCATATCAAGAAAATGTCGAAACAAATCAGCCTGAAACGGCATAGAACAAGCCTGTAATAGCCCAGAAAAAGCCTGAGAGACGGCCCGGAAATGTCGGACACGGCTTAGCAAGGCCTGAAAAAAGCTTAGAAAAGCCTGAACTAGTCTAGTAAGGCTTCAAATGACCTGGCGGAGCCTAAAACAGCCTAACAACACTAGCCACGGCTTGGAGAACAGCCTGAAACGGCCTAGAAAAGCCTAAACTAGCCAGGCAAAGCTTCAAATGGCTTAGCAGGGCTTACAATGGCCTAGCCAGACCTGCCAAGGCATAACCAGGCCCAAAACAGCCTAGAAAAGCCTAAAAAACCACTCACATCATCCTTCTTAAAACTCAAATCATCATCCGTCCTAGCATCATACTGAAACAACGCCACAAACATCGGACTCTGTGACACATTCTGATTCTTGTCGATCACATTTCCACTGGACAACGATCCCAACGTCGACGACTGTATCAGACCGGCGGAGGCGGATGGGATCCGGGGATGACTCGGAAGTGATGACTCCCTCCCCAGTGTGGATGTGGCGTGGTTATGACATGGCGATGTGCTCGCTGGCGGATCCTCTTTTCCAATACAGGATCCCATAGGGATGTGGTGGTGGAGGGAAGGAGGGATTTTATGGTGGTTAGATGGGGGTGGTTCTGGAAAATCTGGGGTTTGGAGGGAATTCAAAAAAATTCAAAAATCATTTGGAAAAACGGAAGATCTGTTTCAAATTGAGTAAAAAAATATTTGGAAGAAATCTGAGCAACACATATTTTTTTTTGTGAGACCTTCCCAACTTGCATGCGCCTTTAAGGTGAATGAAGTGCTTCAGAATCCACGAAAAGCAGAAAATTGAAGCAAAAAATAATTTTGAAAAAAAATATTTTTTTTTGAAAAAAAAATTCTAAAAGGAAATAGGAAATCTACCATATCTCGATTAGTTTTGGTGCAAAAAATATGAAAAGTAGCGCATTTTGATCAGCACGTCAAGACGGTTCGAACGAGTATAATCATAACTAGGTTTTGGAATTTTTTGAATTTTGGGTCTTGCCACGAAAACCAAAAAACTACCGTATCTCGATTAGTTTTGGTGCAAAAAATATGAAAAATAGCGCGTTTTGATCAACTCGTCAAGACGGTTCGAATGAGTATGAACATGATTGGGTTTTGGAATTTTTTTGAATTTTGGGTCTCACCACGAAAACCAAAAAACTACCGTATCTCGGTTATTTTTGAGGCTAGATTTTTGTAAAATGACGCGTTTTGTGTAGCACAGCTATGCGATTGGAAAAATATTTGTTGGAAAAATTGGAAAAATTGATGGACCTGCTTCTCTATGGTAAAAATCCCTATCTGACTTTAGGGTAATTTTTTGCAGGTGCGCCGGAGGCGCGGTAGGAAAAATTGAGAATTTTGAAAAATTTGTTAAAATGACCAAGTAGTCATGGCAGGAGGTCAGGAAAAATTTCAAGAAAAAAAAACTAATTTGGAATCTCAGAAAAAAACAGTAACCAGTACCTAACACCCCTACAGTACCCCATGTCCCCCAAAACCAAAAAAAATTCAAAATCTCTCCGAAAAAAAACCCAAAAAGGATATACATCCTCCTGCTCTCTCTCCTATATGTTTGGCCGGTTTTGTGCTGCTGGCTAAGGGGGCTGCTGCCCGGTTAGCCTATTGGGGGAAAAAAGAAAAGAAGAAGAGGAACTGTATATTTCTCTCTCTCTCTCTCTCTCTCTCTCTCTCTCTCTCTCTCTCTTCTCTATGTATGCGCAACCGAGGTCAGGCATCCCATCCGCCGCCGCGCCGTTTAGCAAACATTTGCGGAACGCGCGCGCGCGTGCCTTAAACTTCTGCCTAGAGAGTGCACTGATTGGAGAGACGCAGATGGACAAAAATGGCAATTTCGACAGCAGCCCTCCTTGGACTTTTCTCTTTTAGATGATGGTGGAGGAGGAAAACATCTCTCTCTCTCCCCTCGGAGGAAAAAAGGATGGGATTAAAGAGAGGTGGGAGGGGGAGGACAAAAATGAAGCTGTCATTATCAAATTAGAGTTGTTTTAAGGGTGTCTCTGAGGAATGATGTAATAGGTTTGACGCATTAGAAGAGTGGAAAAAACAGTCAAGTGTGGGGAAAGGGGTGAACTTGAAGTCTGAGGCCAAGTGCCAGTATATTGGCCTAGAGGGGCCTGAAATGGTCTGGAAAAATCTGAACAAGCCCATTTGTCAGGGGGAGCCTACAGTGCTTTGGAATAACTGAAATCAGCCTGGAAGCGCCTGAAATGGCCTTCTGAAAGAGCTGAAGGGCCTAGCATGGCCTTAATTGACCTGAAAAAGCCTGAAATGCCCTATCGTTACAGCGCTAAAGCGACGAAAACTCATTAGAAAAGTTTCAGTTGAAACTGGAAAATTACTCGCGTGGCATATGGTAGCTTTAAAGGCGCAGTATGGTTTGATGTCAGGAAAATTTGTACTTTTCAATTTCAGCAAATAAAACTAGCTTTTCACGGATTTTCTAGTTTTTTTCAAGGTTTTTGTTTTAAAAAAGAACCGGAGAATCACATTGCTTCTGCACTGAAACAACGGAAAATTCATCTGAAAAGTCAGTGAAAACAGAAAATTTACTTGAGCGGCTTATGGTAGCTTTAAAGGCGCAGCACGATTTATTTTTCAGGGAAAGGCTGAATGTTTTATTTCTGACGGCTAAAACTTGATTTTTCTGGAATTCAATGTAATTTTTAGATTTTAATATTTAATATTTTGAGCGTTTTCTGCCTCATTTTCAGTTGAAAAAAAATTGACTGGTTTATGGTAGCTTTAAAGGCGCAGCATGGTTTATTGTCTGGAAAAAATCGTGATTCTTCCAATTTCAACAGCGAAAACTAGCTTTTTATAAATTTTTTGGGGTATTTTCAAGATTTTTGAATGAAAAAAAAAACTGGAAAATTACATTGCTTTTGCACGAAATTCAAAAAAGTTCGTGAGAGATGATGAATTTTGTGCTATACGGCAAAAAAAAAACAACGAATTTATTATGACTATACTCTTTCAAAAAAAAAAACCAATTAAAACGAATAATTCTATAAAAGCGAAATCTAAAAATGGCAAGAAAATTTAAGCCGCCTTGGTTTTGATCGTCAACCCGTGCATACTCTTGATCTGTTCACGAAGAATCGCCGTGACAATTTTGTGTTGAGCCACTTTTGATTTTCCTTGAAAACTGGACGCCTCGACGACCACGTCGAACATTGATCCGCAACCGTCTGAAAAATGCATGCGCCTTTAATGCCGGGTGGTACTGTAGTAATTTTTTGTTTCGCTTAATTTTTATCGATTTTTCGACATTTTTTAACTAGAAAAATTGGAAAAACCGTACTCGACACATCGTGCACTTCGACACGTGTACATCCTTGAATACTGTCGGTGAGCAGTTTACTCATCTGCTGTTCCGCCTCCGACTGTTGGTGATCGCCACCACAACATGATGAGTGACTACGGAGGAAAGAAGATGTGGTGGTGGTGGTGGTGTTGGAGAGACGTGGACGAAGGCTCGAGAGTAGGCGGAGCATCTGGATTTGGTTGGAAATGAACTTTTCATAATGAAATAAAGTTATATCTACGTGAAAAACCGCAGATTTTCACGTTGTTATAGGGTTACTCATGTTAAAAAATAATGATTGAAAACACTTTTTTCCCTATTCACAGATGTCAAAAAATGGTTGAAAAAATTTGGAATTTTTTTCATTTTTCTAACGTTTTTCCGAGGCTTTTTCGCTGATCGCTGCGAGACCCGTGCGTCTATTTACGGCGGAAGTTCAAAATTTCTCATTTTTTCACAGATTTTCTTCATTTTGATGGTATTTCAAAGAATTTTTTCTGTAGATTTGAGCTCATTTGCAAATCGAATTACTTTTTTTTAAACCAAAATTTGATAAGAATAAAAAATAGAAAAAAAAACATTTTTTTCTTGCAGAAATTGTCGGTTTTCATACGAACTGATCTGAAAATTACTGAAAAATCTGAGATAAGGGGAATTTTACTAACAAATACTTTTAAAAAATGAGAAATTTCAAAGTCCCGCCGTAAAAAGACGCACGGGTCTCGCAGCGATCAGCGAAAAAGGGTTGGAAAAAACTGTAGAAAAATGCAAAAAAAAAGCTGAATTCTTTCACATTTTTTGACATCCGGGAATAAGGGAAAAACTGTTTTTAATCATTTTTTCTAACACGAATAATCCTATTAAAGACGTATGCAAGCAGAAGAGGTCTCAACACGACTAAACCGTTTCAAAAATACAGTAATACTGTTAATCGCGGTGAGACCTTTTCAAAAACAATCGCGTGCGCCTTTAAGGTTCCCTTCTCAAACACCAAAA